TTTGGACAGTGGCACTGTGGTTCTTCATTTTTCAGGCTCAAACCAGAGGTGACGCTGTCAGCCCCCAATTCTCTGGTATCTGCACGCCATCTGACTTGTACCCCTGGCTTTCCTAGGTGTTCAGCTGCAGTGGATTGTGGGACTTCTCAGCTTCCAAAACTGTGTGAAGTAATTTACATTCTGTTCGTCTGTCTCTTTGCAAAATGCCAACTAATACAGATTTACTGCAGATTTGGTACTCATAATCATTCTTAGTAAAAAGGATTTTAATGATGACATTTCTGTATTGATTCTGAGATTTCTGCAATTGGCTGTTTAATCTGATTAGATGGAATGATGTTAATGACTCCAGTTCCCTTAGGAAAGAGAGCACCGATAGTCCATGTCCTGAACTGTTTATCTAGATATACCCATTGGTATATCTCCATCCGGTACTTCTAATCAATCGCTTATAAGAAACATAAGTGATCTGTGTATGATGACTGTGACACTTTTGGAACCCTTAGGAACATCATTGGTTGCTTGCTCCTAATGTTGCGGGATAATGTGCTAAGAGACAAAGAGGAGCTCAGGGATTTCAATTCTCAGCTCAAGAGACCGATGGATGGCGTAGAGCTTCTAGGTGCGCTCTGAGGGAAAGCCTTAAGTCATGTCGCAGTTGGACTGAAATTGCTGAAAATCAGAGGCAGGACCTCATCTTTTCATGGGCTAAAGTAGAATGGGATCCTACAAATTGAGATGGGAATGTATGGGAAGACCCTGATGAAGCTGGGAATATGGAGTCTCAATTCTGATGAGTCGTCCTGGCCAGGAGAAGAGGCCGCCAGCCCTGTTCCCCTACTGCAGCAGAAGTAGCCTCCTCACGCACCCACTGGTATAGGCCTTCCCACCTCTGTCTGAGGGGATTATCCTGCATCACCTGAAGAGGTGTGACCACCCTGAGGCAGTTGCTAGGCAAGGCAATGCTGATGAGCCTCAGGACTCATTACTCCACCCTGTTTGCTACGAAATCTATCATTAGACACAAGTCCTAGCAAGTCCCTCCAAAGTTGAGGTACAGTGTGACCACGTCTAATTCCTGTAGGTCAGAGGGACAGCATTGCTCACAGAGCCAGCACCTTCCTGTGTCTGCAGGCTGATATCAAAATCCTCCCTTAACACTCCCTGGGCTCCCACACGTGTGTGGACCAAACGGGATTCAGATCTCCACAAATGATGTGGGAATGAAAACCAAGACATTTTTCTTTCCCATCCTTCCCTCTTAGTTCCCTGTTCCTTCCTTCCTCCTTCCCTCTTGCCCTTCCTTCCTTCTTCTCTCCCTCTCTCTTTCTTCCCATGCTTCCTCTCTCTTTCATTCCATAAGAGCAAGTTTTGGGGTGATTACTGCAGGAACAGATTCTGTGGTTTCTCAGTATCTCCCTCATCTCCAATACCTGAGCGATTCTACTGGAAGCAGCCCTGCAAGTGACCAGTCTTCCCATGCTAGTGGGGTCTCTCCAAGTAGCGTCTTAGTTGTTCTTCAAGTATGTGTTGGATGTGGCCCGCATTCCTAAGGGATCCCCAACACATGCAATTTTCATGATGATCCAACTCCTTTCTAGCTGCAATCCCTGTTACAATGAATCACAAAATATTAATACAAATACACATCACTATCAGGCCAAGAATTCTTTGACCACTGACTGAAGCTGGGCTTAGGTGCCCGCAGAGGTGGTGCTGTGACCTCATCCTGTGAGGTGGTGAGAACCATCCCAACCTTAGCCCTGAATGTGCCAGGTCTTGGAAATGACCTCTCTCAATCCCATCAAATCAGGGTGGATGTTCATCCTACCTGGAGGTTACATCTTTGTACTAATGTTGTCTGTTTAAGTTACTTGTTGACATTTTTTCCCATTATGGCATCTGTTTCCCATCAAGAGTCAGAGCCTTCATGCTTCCATCATCCAGGCTGAAACAGTGACCCAGGTGACCCTTCCCCAGCTGGGTCACAGCACAGTGGGAAGGGGTCTTTGCTATTGGAGACACAGGATAAGGTCTTACCTGAGTCACAGCCCTGAGTCACAAGGTGTCTGAGTTTACAAGGTGTCTTGATGTGATAGGAAGGTAGGAGCCCCCACTTACTCTTCCGGTGTTCTTTCTCTAAGGTGGCAACACAATTTCCTTTTACAGAATTCAGTCACTATTTTATAAGAGAGACTCTGACAACAAGAGCCAATGGGTCGATGTTGAATGAACAGGATCTCTCTGAAGCAGAAATCGCCCTTTGTTTCTTGTGTATTTGGAGTCTGCAATTGAAGGGACAGCCCTGGGTGCTTTCTCAAATCATGCACCACATTAACTGTGTCAGGCTTTTTTCAGATGTAGAAAGGAGGGTCATTTTTAATGGAAGAGATTAAACATTCTCTACTTGTCATCGTGGTGATTATATCTGCCAATGTGTTCCTGTAGATACACTCAGGGACTCAGCACCGCAGGACAATGACCTTTCATGGACCCATACAGTGTCTGTGTCAGAAGCCACTCTTTTTACATTATTCCTCTTCTGGATATTTAATCTTTTCTTTCGTATTTGCAAGTGTTTTTCTTTTTTTATCCTCTTCCGGGGACTCATTTTTCACTGATTTTAGAGAAAGGGGAAGGAAGAGAAACATCAATGGGAGAGAGAAGCATCAATTGGTTGCTTCTTGTACATTTCCAGTCTAAGAATTGTTGGAGCCCACACCAGGGATTAATCCTGAGCCTGAAATTGAAACTGTAACTCTTTTGTTTAAGAAGGAAGATCCAAATAACTGAGCCACCTTGGCCAGGCTTTTAAAATCTTTTAAGGAATTATCATATTTATGTTAACCTGAAAGTATGAATTTAAGAATAAATATTTGTGTATTTTAATTTATTTGCTTGGCTCTATTGATTATGAACAATAGTTTTCAGTGTTCCTTTTGTCTACAGCGGGGTCTCATGCTTAGTTGATCTATGTCACATCTTGTCATGTGGACACGCACATACAGAACGACATTAAATGACAATGGGGATCCCTGCAGCATGAGGGCTCTGAGTAGTTCCTGGTATTGATAGAACCAGGAATGAGGACCCAGTAGAACCTACTGACAATCAGAGTTTATTTCCTGCTCTAATATGTGAATAACTTGAATGTACCCAGGGGGCCTCTCCAGTTTTCCCGGGTGGAAAGGATAGTGTACCTGATCCACAGGCCCGGCACATGAATCTCTGAACAGGGCATTGATTACTACCACTTTACTGTTCTCTCACACTGGGTACTTTACTCTCTAACCTGATGTCAACAGCACACAAATGTTTAGAGCACTCAATGTTTAGGCAAAACAACTCAAACAACTGTGTGAAATAGAAGATTGTCACTTCCTCCCACACCCTGTGTCTTCACCCCCGATGCCTGGTGGTGCCATAATCTGTGTCCTCCGTTGGCCAGGGTGTCACCGCCCTTTGCTGTGATGTGATATACACAATGACATTAAAATAGTGTTCTCTGAGCATTTTAATCCATAGAACTTCCAATGTTTACCTGAGGACATTTCCATTCAAATCTGGCCAGGACCAGGCAGCCTTGATTTGTCTCTTCTGCAAATTCAAACCCTTCTAGAAAAATACACCAGGCTCTGCATTTCTCTGGGGATGAGGGAGAGTTTGCCTCAAGAAGTCAGACAGCTCTGAGGTGAGGTCATTTCAATGTACCACATTGGGACATTATGAAAGACATTGTTTGTCCCATGTGACAGACAGACACACTCTGAGGACAAGTCCCTGGGTTGGACTCTTTGTCAGCCCTCAACTTTTGCCTTCCAGAATCTCAAACACTATCTAATTCCACTTCCTGGTTTCCAATGGTGATTTTCAATCTTATTGAGCTCTCTCTCTCCTTCATGGATTTGTATTTCAACACTGTGGGAAGTCAACGTGTCTTCCTTTGTCCCGTTTTTTTCTTCCATTGTACCTCCTGGATTTGATTTTATTTCATGTCTAATGTTCCCGCAGCCCAGGGCAAGATTTACCTCTGGAGCACAAACCCAGGGACAGGTCAGCTTGGACACAAACTCAGAGATCCTATGGGGAAGGTCTTGACTGCCTTGTTGGGCAGTTGACATTCTGTTCTAAAGGAGAAGGGATACAAAAATAAATGAGCACAGATGGATGTAAGGGTTATCTAGAGTCCTGGTACTGACCTGGATGGGAATAAAAAAAGGAGGAGAAGGGAACACCCAGATATTTACAGTTCCCACTCAACTGTCTTTTCAGGTGCTTATGTTGAGGCCACCAGGGGGCAGCGTTGTCTGAATTTGGGCAAGGCACTTACTGTGGTTTACCATGACATGTATGAAGTCTTACCTGGAGATCCCTTGAGTGGATGTTTGAGGGAAGGAGATGTCCTGTGTGTATTGTGTCCCAATATTTCTACTTCTACAAGTGGCAAAAATGTCCATGAACCTAGACACTGTAGAACTTGGACAAGGTATGCATGAGACATCATTTCAACTGAGAAGCTACAAAAAATGTTTGAAAAAGAATTGGAGATGCCAGCTTTGCCTGTGGTCCTTGGATAATGGAGTAATTGGAATTTTTTCTAGTCAACCTAAGACCCTGTCCTCACCCTCCTCCCAGATGTCTCGGAGGGGAAGTCCCTGAATTTCTCAGGCAAGAACCACCTTGATTCCTGCAGTAGGAAGGACAGAAACCTCCAAGGTTGGCTCCATTTCTAAGGCACTTAAATATGGTCTCAGTGTGTTCTGAGCGAGAAAATACCATGCCAAACATTTAAAATACTCTCAGATTAGCTGTGCTATCCAGTGTGGAGAAGCATCTATATCAATGGTCAGGCCAGAGTTGGGTGAAGAGAGGCAGGTGCAGGAAGCAGATTTGCATGGAGGCCCCGCCCTCCCCTGAGGCAGGAAGAGGGGATAAGAGAGGTCTGGGGGAGCCAGGCTCAGGCTTGGGGTCTCAGGTTGCAGCTCCCCTGGGGGATCTCCACCATGGCCTGGGCTCTGCTGCTCCTCACCCTCCTCACTCAGGGCTCCGGTGAGGCCTCCGGGGAAGGGACCGTGGGGACATCTGGGCTGATTCTGTTTTTTCCTCAGGCTCACACAGGCCCTGCAGTGAACTCAGCACTGAGTGTGTTTTTGCTCTTTTCAGGTTCCTGGGCCCAGGCTTCCCTGACCCAGCCGCCCTCAGTGTCTGCGGCTCTGGGCCAGTCGGTCACCATCACCTGTGCCGGAAGCAGCAGTGATGTTGGTGCTTATAATTTTGTCTCCTGGCTCCAACAACAACCAGGCATGGCCCTTAAAATCCTGATTTATGATGTCAGCAGTCGGCCCTCGGGGATCCCTGACCGCTTCTCTGGCAGCAAGTCCGGCAACACGGCCTCCCTGACCATCTCTGGGCTCCAGCCTGAGGACGAGGCGGATTATTACTGTAGTTCATATAGGGGTGGTGGCAGTAACCACAGTGGTGCTAGTTCGTGGGGAAGTGAGACCAAAACCTCCCCTCTGCTCACAGGCTCTCTCCTTGCTCTGAAGACGCTTCCCCACCCTGAGCAGAGGGGGCTTCATGCAGCACGGCTAGACTTCACTTCCCTCTCAACTCCTCTCCCGGCCACAACAGGAAATATTCTCTTGGGTTTATTGTCTTGAGACTATGACCGCTGCCTCTTCCACTGTGTGATGTGGTCCCTGAATGTGTCACTGTTTCCAGCTTGCGACAGCAGTGCGATGGTAAATACTCTGTGCTAAATGTTATGTGTTAACTTGGCTGCACAAGGGATGCCCAGAGAGCTGGCAACACATTCCTTCTTGGTTCCTGTGAAGATGTCTCTGGAAGGGATTAACACTTGAATCAGCACACTGACTGACCCAGATCACTCTTGCCAGTCCTTTTGGATGGCATCTCACACCTGAGGGCCTGCACTGAACAAAAGGTGGAGGAAGTGAAGATATTTGTGTTCCATGTGAATGCACATGAATATGTGACCTTAGTAAAGAATTTTAAAAATCAAGTGGGTAGTAAAGAAATCCAAGACACTAATTCAAAAGAATATGTGCACCCCTATGTTTATTGCCACATTATTTACAGTAGCCAAGATATGGAAGCAACCCAAGTGCTCGTCAATAAGCGAGTGAAAAAGCTGTGATATACAGAGGAATATTATTTGGTCATAAAAAAGAATAAAATTTTACCATTTGGAACAGCATGGATAGACCTAAAGGGTATTATACTCAGTGAAATAAGTCAATCAGAGAAAGACAAATACTATATGATTTCACTTATATGTGGAATCTAAAGAACAATATAAATGAACAGACAAAATAGAAATAGACTCATAGATCCAGAGGACAGATTGATGGTTGTCAAAGGAGTAGAGAGTTGGGGGACTGGGTAAAAAAATTGAAGTGGTTCAGAAGTACAGATTGGTAGTTACAAAATAGTCATGGAGATATAAAGTGCAGTATAAAAAATATAGTTAATATAACTATGTATGGTGCCAGGTGGGGACTGGAAATATCAAGGGGAACACTTTGTAAAGTATGTGCTTGTCCGACCGTTATGCTGTACACATGAAACTAATACAAAATAATATTGACTATAAACTGTAACTGAAAAAAAATTAAAATCAAGTGGGTAGGATGAAACTGTGGCATTCGTTAACCACCCCGTCTTCATCCGGTGGTCTCATGAACAGGGTGGCAATCCCAGTAGAGATGGTGTTGAGGCACTGACTCTGCAACATGACCCGCATGGCCCAAGGCTGGCCTGGCACCCAGGCAGGACTGCTGACAGCCCAGGCCCTTCAGGAGCAGAGGTTTGGGTTGCTGCCCTGGGGCGAGAACCATAAACAGCTGAGGTGCTCGCTGATGCCAGAGGGAGTATAGAACAGGTGGTAAAAGAAGGTAGTTATAGATACCAGCTGTGACCACACCACCAATTTTAGAAATGAGGACTGTGTCATGAGCATGTCCTCTTAATTTTGTTATGAATATATTTGTGTGTGTATATACATGTATTAAGCAAATAGCTATGTTTTCTTTCCTCTCTTATTCTCTTGTCATGTAATTGCAAGGCATTGCCACTTCTTGAGGAGTGCTTGGGATCCATTTAGGGATCAAATATTTGGGTGGCAGATCATCTCCAGAGACTTATTGGTGCCTCAGCCTTTCAGGCCCCAAATCCCTGAAGTGACTGAGACATCTTACAATGTGGCAGCCACCATCTAACTGATTTAAAGAGAGCATTGACATACCCAAAATATTCAACGCAGTCCTAAAGAACAGGGCCACGTCCAGCACTCCATCCTCCCTCCATCAGCTGGGAAAAGCCTTCTTACATAAACACCTAACACATAGTTCCAAGTGCCCTGATTCCCCTGGTCCATAAACGACCAGGCTTCTGGGCGGATCAAGGAAACAAGCCTCCAAATCAGCACAGGCAGCCCTTTTGGTCGGAATCCTTCAAGGGCCACAGACAGTGTTTGATACAGAATGTCTGGCTGGATTCTAGGACATCAATTTTGACTTGCAATGGAACAGTTTTACTTGGAGGCATTCGAGAAAGGACTGGGGTTTGTTCTAGAAGAAATCAGCCAGAGACCCAAAGTGGAATCTGTCAGGCCTGAGTATCTTTTTGGATGTGTGAGAAGCAGGGGGCACTGTGAGATCATGTCTCTGTTTGTGGGGACCCGGAGCCCAGCTGTAAGGCTTTTCAACGGACAGCATTGGCATTTAACACAGGTGCCCACCAGGTGTGCCCAGGCAGCTGCGCTGACCCTCACGCTCAGGCAGGGCAGGCAAAGGGAAGGAGGAAAAGGTGAGCAAAGCCCTCATCACCCCTCCCCCCTTTCCACCCATGCTTCACCCAGCAGGGTGTGTACCCAGCTGGGACTTAGCTCTGGGTGCAAGCAGGAAACTGGGTGGGAGATTTGCATGAAGCCCACCCTTCACTGAAGGAATGGAGAAGGAAGAGAGTTAAAGTTGGAGGAGTCCGGCCCCAGCTGTGTGGCCCTCAGGAAGCAGTATCTGCAGGAGCACCACCAACATGTCCTGGACCACTGTCCTTTCTGTGAGCCTCTGCAGAGGTCAGGACAGACTCCCTGGGTTCTGGGGACATGGCAAGAACAAGGGGCCATGCGGAGGAGTCGCCCTAACTATAGTGCTCATGGGCATCTCTTTCTGTTCTCCTCCATTGTCAGCTCCCAGCCTGTAGCGACTCAGGACCCCTCCCTCACGGCGATGCTTGGACTGACAGTCGCCCTCACTTGCTCTATGTGTATGGGACCCGTCGCGACTGGGAATTCTCTGGGACGGTTCCTGAAGAAACTTGGTCAAGCTCCTCAGCAGCTCATACACCAGGAGCACAAACGCCCGACTTCTATTCCCATCCATTTTTCAGGCTCTATCCTCAGGGACCAAGCCAGCCTCCTCATCAGCCTGAGGATGAAGCTGAGTACTTCTGTGTAGTCTGGTACAATGCGCCTGCTTCACAGTGACAGCTTCTGATGGGGAGCGGCATCGAAACGTCACCGTGCTCAGCGTGGAGTAGCAGCACTATGAGCAGAGAGCAAAAATCTCCCCACCCCGGGTGAGGGCCGAGACCCACCAAACATCCAGCCCTGCTCACTCAGCCAATGGCTGGACCGGATATAGAGTTCCCGGGACAAGTGGATTTCCTCCAGAGCAGTGGGGATGCTGCCTCGCTGCTTCACCAGGAGTCAGTGCGAAAGGAAAGAAGTATGAGTGAAGGTGGTCTGATGTTCATTCTTTTGGGTCACAGGATTTTTGTTTGGGAAATTTATGAAATTCTTTAGAGTAAATGTAATTAATTTGAGCTTGAACACTAGCTAACATATGCCCATCAGCAGAACATTTTTCAAATGGTACCAGGACACGATGCTATTGGTACCGTGGCTCGGTTGGTGTGCTCACTGCCCAGCAACGGAGGGGGCTCTGGCTGGCAGCTCACACGGGTGGCTTTCTCTGGGGAGGTGCGTGTGCATCTCTGAAGACTGAAGTCGCCTTGCGAAGAGGGGCCTGGGAGCTGCCCGCTCCCTACTGTAGCCAGTGACTGACGAGTGCGGGGGTACACAAGCCCTGATCTGTTCACCTTGAAGGCATCACCCCTAATGGTGCGGAACATCCGCTCCAGAGCTGCTGACAGGGTCAGGCCGCTTAGCTTCTTACCTTCCTTACCCAGCCTCCCAGACTCCCCTTTGGTTTCTCTTAAGGACACTCTCCAAGAAATCACATGGGCCCACATCCCTCCCTCAGGCTCTGCCCTGGTTTTCCATAGCCAAGACCATCACATGCAGCATATTGTATATAGTCTTTCAGAAACAGCTGAGGTAAATATCACTGCTGCAGTCTTTATTTTTTTAATTTAAGATTTTTTTATTTTTAGAGAGGCGGGGGAGAAAGAGAGGGAGAGAAACATTGATGCAGGAGAGAAGCATCGATCAGTTGTATCTTGCACGAGCCCCAACTGGGGAGCGAACCTGCAGCCCAGGCAGTTGCCCTGACCTGGAATTGAACTGGTGGCCCAGCCAACTGAGCCACAAAGGTCAGGCCTCACTGCCTTATTCTTTGTAAGGCTACATTTCAACAGGAATAAAATAAAATATTAAAATATTGATATATTTTACCTGATTTTATACAAAGTCTTTCAAATCGTATGGGTATTTCAGAACTACAGCACATCTCTACTGGAACAACCATACATCATTCTCAACAGCTGCATGTGGCTTGTCGCCGACATATTGGATAAAACAAGTCGGAGGAGGTGTCCTTGGGTAACTACCCCTGCAGTGCATACTCAAAGCCACCAGGGAAAAGGAGGGATCCAAGAAGCATATGACGCACTAGGGAGGAATGGCTGCTTCAATTTCCACCCAAACCAGGGATACTGAGGGCGCATAAACCCAAGGGGATTTTTATAACGTGTTTCTACAATACTGCCTTTCAAAAGACACAATGTTTTTTGTCTGTTTTTTAATATTATTATTATTTTTTTAATTTATTTACTTTTTAAATACATTTTTCTCTGCCTCCCCCCCACCTCTTTCCCTTGCCCCCTCCCTCCTTCCTTCCCTCAGCTCTTCCCCTTTGGTTTTGTCCATGAGTCCTTGCTATATGTTCCTTGACTTTCCCCTTCCCTTACCTTTCCCTGCCCCCCACCTTCCCTCTTGTCTCTGTTGATTTATTTTCCTTTCAGTGTTGCTGGTCATATTTTCCTTGCATCTTTGCATTGTTGGTTAGGTTCCGCTTATAGGTGAGATCATATGGTATTTGTTAAAAGACACAATGTTAAAGATAACTACAATTTTAAACATGAAACTTAGACATCACACACTTTTTTTGTTATTAGTGTAATGACTGACATGGCCTATGTTAATTTTTGTAAATATTGGTACAAAAATTCTATTCAGTGGAAAAATCATTTGCATACATATTACACAAGTCATAAAGTGGTGTTTCATGCAGAAATTTAGGCAGAAGGAGATTCATAAGCTTTCTTTGTTTGTTTTTAACGTTGGAAGGTTGGCTGTTCTCGACAAAGGGATATATTTGCCTAACTCAGAGGCAGAGATCATGTTTTCAAAGTGAAATCTCTCAGGGTGGCATTAACAGTTCCCCCCCCCCCATGTTGTTGGAAGACCCCCAGCACAAGGGTGAGGAGTGGCCTGCGGGAGGGGCCGGCGGGGCCCCATGAGGGACCCTGAGGTGTGAGTGTGAGGAGAGGAAGCCCCAGGGTGGGAGGGGCAGAGAGGAGCTGCGGGTGTCCCCTCCGCGGGGAACAGCAGGGGGCATGTCTGCGGCACCAGGCCCTGGTCTCCTCTCAGTTTTTCTCTTTAGCCCAGACTCTAAGGAGTGAGTCAGGGGGTCAGTCTGTCTGTGCACATGTGTTACTGTAGTGCTTCACACATCATTCCATGTACAACACCTTTAGCATTTTGTAACTGAATTACTGTCATTATATTCTCAGTGGTACTGGATTTGAAAACAAATACATTTGTTTGAGATATTAGGTAACAATTCACCTTGCAAATCATATTTATGAATATTTTTAAAGGGTTGTCTCCCTATTATAACAGTCTTCCAACTGCAATGGCCTTGGCAATGTTAGACACGGACTTCATAACTGCTTCTCATGAGGATCCCAACCTGATTCCCCACGTCTCGTTGTGTTGTCGGCCATGGAGGGAGCAGAGGAAGGGTCCCCACCTCTGTGCACAGACAGGCCCGTGTTTCCCTGGGAAACACAGATTCCAACACCGTGAAGACCTGAGCGCTCCTCAGACCAGACGCAGGGAGGATGGAGGACCTGCATACAGAAGTCAGGGCTGTGACTCAGGGACTTGGGAGGCCTGGGGCCTGGATGGGAAGGAGGAGGAGGGTCAGGGACATGGAGAGGGCCGGGCAGGGAGGGGATTCAAAGGCTAGGCTCCGAGGTCGATCTGCTGCATTAGAGTCTTGACTCATCAACACTGTCTCGTGGACTCTGGGAAAATTAATAACCTCACCAGGACGGCTCCCTCCTCATTAGACAACACCTTCAGCGGAAGGATCATGTTGGATTATGATGTCAGATGAGGGTGTGCATGTAAAACACTCACCAAGGGCCTAGAACCTATTAAGGGCTCAAAAGCAATCAAAAGGTTGAGCTAGTTCACAGAGAGGATGACATTTATCCTGGAGGCACTAGGGGGCACTGTGGGTCTTGCCTTGGGAACTCTGATAGGTCCAAGTCCCCTGGGCTGTGCTCTGTGCAAAGGGTGTGACGGCTGCTCCTTTGGAGACACTTTTATTGGGTAAAATCAACTCTTAATGATGAAACCGACACCTGGGTGTTCTTCTGACCTCAGGGAATTACCACGAGAAGGCAGTTAGGCTTGGGGTTGAGACAGGAACTGAGACAGATTTGCATCTGGGCTCCTCCCCCTTGAGCTGCAAGAAGAGAGGATAAGACAGGAGCTTGGAGAGGCCAGGGCCAGCTGGGCAGCCTCGGGGCAGAGCTCCTGGAAGCCACTGCCGCCATGGACTGGGTTCCCTTCTACCTCCTGCCCCTGGTTTTCTCCACAGGTCAGAGCATCCTGGGCACTCAGGGGTCCCACTGCCCAAGTTTCCCTACAAGCACAGTCCCGAGCATCTGTCCCATCTGAGTACATTTGGCATCATCCCCGTGTTTTGTGTTTGCAGGTCTCTGTGATGATTCTGTGCTGACCCAGCCATCGTCTGCCTCTGCCTCCCTGGGAGCCTCGGCCACACTCACCTGCACCCTGAGCGGGGAGTACAGCACCTACACCATTCGCTGGTATCAACAGAGACCAGGAAAGGGCCCTCGGTACTTGATGTACATTAAGAGTGATGGAAGTCACAGGAAGGGGGGACGGGATCCCCGACCGCTTCTCGGGCTCCAGCTCTGGAGCGGACCGCTACTTAACCATCTCCAACCTCCAGCCTGAGGACGAGGCTGAGTATGTCTGTGGTGAGAGCCACACACAGGACGGCCTGTTCACAGAAGCCACAGTGACACAGACAAAAGGGAAGTGAGGCCCAAACCCCCTCCCCCCTTGTATCACCCTGTACTCCCTCACCAAGACACCACTAGGGAAAGTCAGCTATGGTCATAATTTAGGTCACTTTACAAAACAGTGTTCTGTTTCCTCCAACACAGGTCTGTAGGCAGGAAGCTGGGAGACCAGCCCAGCCCAGACAGGAACATGACCCCGAGAGAGTGGCTGGGCTGAGATGACCACATTCCCAAGAGCCATCAGGCCCTTTGCTCCCATCTTGGGGCTCTGCTCAGGGAAGGGACACAGATCATGGCGTTCCAGAGTCGTCTGAGCAAGTGTCTTGAGTTAGACACACCGTGGGGTGAAGCAGGGGTCCTGTCAGGACTGAGGTTTGGCAGGAAGCATTTGTCCCTCAATGGACACACGAGAGAGGCCAGGCCCCATGTCAAGAAGAGAGCTGAGTCCAGTAGGGAAGCGCATGCACGTGGGGAGGCCTTTGGCCAGATCAGCGTGGAGCACGGCCCGGGCCCTCCAGCTGTGCCAGATCCTCGGCCTGTGGTGCCAAGAAAGGCACCAATTATGCCCTGAGGACTTTTCTAGGGACAGGGCAGGACGATGTCCACTGGGATGGGGGGATGGGAATGCTGAGGGGGAGGATATGTTGCAACCTCTTAACTCCAGTCTCTGCCCTGTGGGTCACTTACCTCGGCTACATTTGTAGGGTCTTGGAGACAGGCGAGTGGATGGGTTGTTATTGTGGTAACTTATTAGGAAATGGACATACCAGTATCTCTCACACATGCTGACACCATAGAATCAACCTGGAGCAGCTGCGTGGACCAAAGTAATTTGGTTCCTGATCACAGGCAGGTGAGCGGCAAGGCTGGGCGCTGGCCTGTGCAGATTCAGGCCGATCCTGTCTCGTGACTGAGGGGTTCATATCAGGATGCCAGCTTGGGGTCTCCAGACTGGGCGTCACATAGTGTTGCTGTTACATCAGGGGAGTAACTGAAGCCTGCTGATCTGCTGACAGTAAATCAGGGGGCAGCAGACCCAGGTCCCCGGGCCTGCCCTTGGGGCAGCTGGAGTGAAAGTGGCTGAGCCTGGGACAGGCAGGCTGGGCCGAAAGCGAGAGTGTGAGGGGGGGAGCTGTGTCCTTCCCTCTGCATGTTCTACGTCTCTCAGACTGTCACTCTCGGTGTCTGTGTCTGTCTCTGTCTGTCTGTCACTCTTGTGAAATCTCAGTTTCTCCGTCTTAATCCCATTCTCTTTCATTCCTCCAGTGCATCTTATCCTGCCTTGTTGATCCTTTGTCATGGCTCCCTTCTCTAGTCTCTTCCTGTTCCCTGTTGCGTGTGTGCATCTGTCTCGGTCTGTCGGGTTTCCTTCCCTCAGTGACTTCTGATGGGAAGCATGTTCACAGGTGCTTATTTTTGCATATGCATCTTTTTATTTTTTTGGTGAAGTGTTTGATCAAATGTTTGCATATTTTAAAAATTTGGATCCTCCTGCTTCTGTTTGTGATGTGAGTGCGTGTGCTTGTGAATCTGTGCTTATTTATTCATTCATTCATTCATTTTGCTCACCCCAGGACATTTTATTTTAATTGCTTTTAGGCACAGACAAAGGGAGAGAGAACATGGGTGATACAGAAGCATCAATGTGAAAGAGGAACATTGATAGGTTGCCTCCTGTACGCACCCAGACCGGAGATTGACCCAAAATCTTTGAGTTTCAGGGCAACACTCCAACCAACTGAGCCGCACTGACCATGGCTATCCATTTTTATTCCACATGTAGGTTCATGTATCCACCACAGCAGTCAAGACGCAAAGCCATTCCATCCACATGGACTCTTCATGTTTCCCTTTTTTATCATCTACTTCCTCCCACCCACACCGTCCCCTTCCCCTCTGCCCTGCAACCATCTGTTGCTTCTTCATTTTTAAAATTGTGTTATTTGGAAAGTTATGTATCAATAAAATCCTACAGTATGTAACCTTTTGTGATCGGTATCATTCATTCATCATATTTCCTCATAGACTTGTCAATGGTCTTGTGTGTATCAATAGTCCATTTTTTATGGCTGAATAGTATTCTGTGATTCCCATGTACCGAAGTCTGTTTAACCATCACCCCGCAAGGACATCTGGATTGTTTTCAGTTTGGGGCTCTTATGTGTAAGGGCGCTGTTATGAACTAAACCTTTCTGTCTCCAAAATTTGTATGTTGAAGTCCTAACACCCAACATAGCTGTATTTGGAGATGGAGACTCTGAGGAAATAACAGAGGCAAAATGATATGTTATGGGTGGAGGTCTGGCCTGAGGGGATCAATAACCAGAGCCTGCCTGTCTCTCTTTCTGTCTTTCTCTCACTTTCTGTAGCTCTGAGTTCTAACTTTAAGCAACTCAGTGCTCCTTGATTAACATGGCCTGAGCTGAATAGACAGGTGCTGTGGACATTCCTGAATGGGTTGTTATGTAAAGGTAAGTTTTTATTTTTATGAAATAAATGCCCAATGATGCAGAGACTAGGTCGGATGGTAATCACATGTTCAGTTTTATACTCACCGCACGACAGTTTTTCCATTGCGGCTCTGCCATTCTGCATTCGTACCGGCAAAGAGTGAGCAACCGACTTCTTGCTGCCTGAGCAGAGTTCGGTGTTGCCCATCTTTTTGCTTCACTCCAGCTCATCTATCTGACAGCTCTGCTGGTATCTCATTTTGTTTTAATTTACCTTCCTTGTGGCTACTGATGAATATTTTTTGTGTGCTTTTTTTGGCACCTATATATTTTCCCATCTACTGTCCATTTGCATCATTTGCCCAATTCAAAGAATATCTTTATTTTGTTTATTTTTTTTAATTTTTAAATTGATCTGAGAGGAACGTCCATCTGTCCCCTCCCCATCCGTTCATGCGTCGGCCGACTCCCGCCTGTCTGTGCCCCAGCCAGGGAGCTGATCAGGATCCCCGGTGCATTTGGACGATGCTCAACCGACCAAACAACCTGGCCAGGGCTCTTTGCTTTCCGTATTAATTAGTTTTGAAACTTTATACGCATACTTCCTTGATGGATTGGTAGTGGCAATTATTTTCTCCCACTTTACTGTTTATTTTAAAGTAACTCCATAAAAGAGCCACTTATACAACAAAGTTTTTAATTTTAAAGGATTCCCATTTATCTTTTTCTTTTTTTTTCTTTTTTACATATTAAGGGTTTCTATAAAGTCTAAGAATTCTTGCCAAGACCGAGATGCAGAAGATATTTCCTTTTTTTTTTATAAAATATAATAAAAATTCCCCCAGAGACACATGAGCAATTTCACTGTGTCCTCGAGGAAATTCTGGGTTCTCACACCGGCCTGACCACTGTCCCTACCAGCCCCTGTCTCCAGCCCTCCCACTCCACACCAGTGGGTGATCTCATCCCTGGAGGACGGAGGCCTCTCCCCAGCCCGCAGAGGAGACCCGGGGCTCAGCCTGAGGTGCGGGTGCAGGGGCCAGGTCCAGGGGTCAGCACTGTCTCACCAACACCACAGAGAGCTCTGAGCGACCTGGGTACAGACCGAGGTACAAACTTAAACCCTCCATTGACTCCAGCTGCTCTCTGCCCAATGGATGCCACTCAGCAAGGCCACAAGAGGAAGGAAGTCAATTTGCATATGGAGCCCCTTTTACAGGATAAGAGAGGCCCTGAAGCCAAAACCTCAGGTGCGGGTCAGAGGAAGATCCTGGGGCGCCTCCACCATGGCCTGGATGCCTCTCCTGCTCCCCCTTCTCGCTCTCTGCACAGGTGCTGCCCCCAGGCCCTGCCTGCTGCTCAGCCTCAACAGGACCTTGAGCTGCGACTGCCCCAAACCTCAATCGCAACCCTGACACAGACTTAATGTGGGTCCTTGTGGGAACGGGCCCTTCGTTCTCAATTTCCCTCTCTCCTCTCCCCTTGCAGGTTCTGTGGTTTCCCTTGAGTTGACACAGACGCCCTCAGTGTCTGTGGCCCTGGGACAGACGGCCACAATCACGTGCCAGGCAGATGAGGAAGTATATGCTATGTTCTGGTACCAGCAGAAGCCCGGCCAGGCCCCTGTGCTGGTCATCTATAGCGACAGCAGCAGGCCCTCAGGGATCCCTGACCGATTCTCAGGCTCCAGCTCGGGGAACACGGCCACGCTGACCATCAGCGGGGCCCAGGCCCAGGACGAGGCGGACTATTACTGTCAGGTGTGGGATGCGACTGATGATGCTCACAGTGACACAGGCAGACGGGGAAGTGAGACACAAACCCTTCTCCTGCCAGTGTCACTGTCTCCTCCAGTCCCCGAGGACCGTAGAGGAAACTGGTCTCCAGATCGGAGCTCCCAAGGCCGCCCCACCTCCCAGCCCTCAGGCGGCTCTGAAGGGGGCGGGGGGGGGGGTCAGGGGTGAACTCGGAGCTGGCTGATTCCCTTTAAGGATGGAGACAGTGGAGCAATATCCCTAAAAGAGAAGCTTTTAAAAATACAAGTCCTTTAAAAAAAACAGTTGACTTTGAATTACTTATGCAGTGAAAACATCTTTCCATAATGAATGTAAAATAAAGCTTTTTCAAAAATCAAAAAACATACAGAATTGGTCACCAACAGAACCTCAACACAAAATAGTAACATCCCCCCTCGGACAGAAGGATAGTGATTCCTGTTAGAAATGGGAATCCTCAGAGAGAAATGGGAAGCCTCAGAAATGGTCATGATAGGAAAGCTATAGAAACATCTGCCTTATGTTAAGTCCATAAAATTAACTGCGTGTAAATAAAAGGTCACTAACAATACGCAGTGTTTTTTAATGATAGTCCAAATTAAACAGGTGACAATGATGGCACAGAAGCTGGGGGCGAGGGAAAGGCGGGTGCCGATAGTCTCGTCCTCTCTGTGAAGGGACACAGCATCCCTGGGAGATGGGCCTTGATACAGTGGGTTAGTGCTGTGACCGCAGAGCTGCCAGTAACACAAATGCTTTAAAAACAGTTATAGCTAATAAGGTGTGTTCGCTCAGGTTTCCACAGATAGAGAAATTATAACACGTGGATACAAGTACAGCTATAGGTGTAGAAGGGATATGGATATAGAGAGATACAGATGTGTCCTCTATGCAGAAAGGCTTCCATATGCTGCACAGCTGAGGCACTGAGGTAGATAGGTAGATGGATAGATAGATAGCAGATTGGGAGGGATTGGCTCATGCAACTCTCGGACTAGCATGTGTAGAATCTGTCGGCGAGCAGGAGGCTGGATATTCCAGGAAGAGTGGATGTTTTTGTGCTGACCCCAAATTCCTGGACACATTAAGTGAGAACATGAAGACAATGTCAGTAGCCAAAGCAAATTTCTAGATTAAAGAAAGCACTGCCTCATTTCCATACCTTCCATCATAGGTACACTCACCTGTGAGGGAGGGATTGTGCGCAGGTACCAGCAAAGTAATGACTTTGAACACTTACATTCAAGGTGATCCTGGCATTTGAGACTCCAGAATGTGCCTGCGGGACGAGACAGATGTGCGACAGCCTGTGCATGACTCCTCACTGCGACACCGGAAGGAGCAGAGAGGGGGACAGAGGGTCCTGGGGACAGAGCGTCCTCGGGTCAGGAGAGCCTGTGCTGCCTGGGGACTGAGAAAGGCTCCCAGGAATAGAGTCAGACCCTAAGGGGAAGGAAGCTCCTAACCACAACATTGTCAAGTTCCTAAAGCCAGCGGGGACGGGATAATTGTAAGAGCTCAGAGAGAGGAGACCCGTCCAGAGAGAGGACGAAGCAGAGGGGTCAGGACAGGTGTCTCCCTGGAAACAAGGCAGACGATGGGAGAGGGGAGCAACGTCTCTCGACAACCAAAAACAAAACAACGGGAAACAGCAACGGACACCTGTCCACTTTTCAGACTTCACCCAGTGAAAATATCTATCAAAAAAGGAAAAATAATACTTTCTCAGATAATACAAAATTTTGCAGAACTGATCGCCTGCGGACGCTCAGTACCAGAAAAAAACAACAGAGGATACACCATGGACAGAGAGAAATGGGAATCCACACAAAGGAATGAAAGGCAGCAGATTCGGAGACTATAGAAATAAATAGAGAAACTTTTTGTCATTTTAAACTCTATAAAACATATCACTAATGCAAAAACACCAAATGATATATGTTGTGGATCATGATGTATGTTAAAGCAAAGACATGGCAATGTTACCTCAAAGGTTAAGAGGAAGAAGAGCACATTATGATAAGCTGACATGTCTCATTCAAAGCTAGTTCAGGTCCAATGTGACATCTTCCCACAGGTAGGTAACTTGGGCAGCAGGAGCGATGTGTTGTCAGAATTCTCAGGATCACAAGAGAAGCTCCCATGTGACTTCCTGTGCAAACTGAATGGGAAGCAGCAGCCCCTGCATAGTGACAGTCTTTGTGTCTCTTCTGCCCACTCTCCTCGCTGACAGAAGGCAGTAGTCACAAGGCAGTGGCTCCTCCTCCCCCGGATCCTCCTTCAGCTGCTCTGACTCCTGGGCCAGGCATGTGCTCAGCGTGACATCCAATCCTGCACCGCATCCCTCAGTGTTACAGTACACGTCACAGTGGACTGGCCTGGTTTGGTATCATAAACACCTTAGTCTCTAACTGTCCTTCACCCTCAGACATACCAGACCCTCCCCACAGGGCACTGACCCTGCTGTCCCCGCACTCACTGCTTCCTCCTGGTTCCTCTTCCCGTCCGGACGGCAGCTCCAGGGTTTCCTCCAGAGACACCCCTCCAATCTCTCCCCACGTAATGCCTACATGTGTTTTTTTGTCTGATATCAACTAACCATCTGCACATCAACAACTGCACAATAATTTCCCTAAAATTATTTTCCTTAATTGAGGGATAGATTTGTACTCCTTTTTTTCTGCACCTTCCAGGATTTCTTTTAATGCAAATGCATACCAGACCATCAGACACATGAATAGATAGGAGATTTTTTTGCCAGGAGAAGTCTGCAGTCAGGTGGTTGTTCTGCAGATACACCCCTATTCCATGAAGTCCAAGGTCTTTCTCACTTTCCGTCCCGCCAGCCCTGCTGTGGAGGCTCTGCTTTCATCCTCGTCGCAGACAGACCTCAGGATGGCTGCCGCAGCTCCGGCCATCTCACCCAGGCTCAACGGGAGGGTGCAGCACAAATCTAGTCTCTTTCTTGGAAGAGCAAAACTTCCTTGGATGGAAGCCCAACTGTCTGACACACTTATGGGTCAATACTGTGCAACAAGGTCTATTCTGGTCCAGAGAAACTGGAGAAGAGCAATCGTCTGGCTTTTAAATGAGTATAGCAGACAAGGTACAAGTAGAGGTTGGCGGTGACCATCAGCAGTGTCACAAAGGCAAGTGTGCTTGCTGTGCTCCCACCCACACAAGGGAAACTCTGAGACAGGGACTGAGTCCTGTTCACACCGATGTCCCAGGATGGAGTGTCAGCCAGACACAGAGGCTCTGAGTCGTTGTTTGTTGGTGAGTGCTCTCCCGTCCGGGATGGGGAGCAGTGTCCTCTACTGTCCTATTTAGACTCTCCACCAGGGGCCAGCACCAGTGAGAGTCAGTCCCTGTGTCCTGTGTCCCTCAGTCTGAGCCCCAGAACCCACAGCCCCGAGATAGGTGCATGATGCTTTGGGTGGGTCCCTCCGCCTCCCCTTCTCCTCCAAATGAACCTGTTCACACCATTATGGGTTTCCTGACCCCAGCATGCCTGGTCTTGAGAGAGGCAGGGGATATGTAGAGAACAGCAATTTCCGGCCGTGGGGCCAGCAGTCGGTGAATCAGGGAAATACCTCCTGAGCAGTAGGTTCAGAGTCGGCATCTGGACAAGAGGACACACCTGCTCCTCCAGCAGCCAGTGTGGAGAGGCCACCAGGGGGCAGCAGAGACCACCTGGCAAAGCCTCCTGGAGTCTGAGGTCCCTGAGCAGGAATTCTAACAGGCAGGGGGATTGTTGACTACCACTTAAAAGCTGCAGAAAAAGTAGTAAGTTTTCTACAGTCTCACCTTTGACACTGCTGTTACATTCTGGCTCTGAGTCTCTCAGATTTGGTCCTTGGACAGTTTGCCTCATTTTCTGTCACAAGTCTGGCAATTCATTCCTGTCTAGCCACCCCATTCATGCTAAAACTCTGTAACTGTCAAATCTTTTCAAGCAGGGGCGCTGTCCCTGGCACTAACTCACACCAGGGACACTGGGGCATCGATAACCTGTCTCAGGAGTCCTCAGCTAGTACAGAAACTTACAGAAACTCAATGAGTCTTAAAAATTCCAAGTGCCTTTAGCAAGGTGCAATTTTTATTGAGGCTCTGACCCCCTCAGACTGTGACTGGGGTGGGACATTGCTGGGTCCTCAGGCTCCCATCATCACAGTTAACGCTCTGTAATGGGTTTAGATCATGCAGACAGATGTGACTTCTGAGTTGGGCAGTGGGCAGAGCAGCCCAAGAGTGAAGTCATGGCATAGCCCGGGGTGGAGATGTCAGCCCCTTGCTGTGGCACCTGGGGATGAACCAGAGATCCCTGGGCTGTGGCTCCTGTCTGCAGGGACCATCCCTCCCTTTTCCGTGACCCTGGGTCTTACCCAGTCTCAGGACCACAAGCTCCTCAGGCAGCCCCTGAGCCCCGGCTGATTTGCATGCCCAGCAGCTGCCTCCCCAGCAAGGGGATAAGAGAGGCCCGGGAGGAGCCCTGCCCAGCTCGGGCTCAGGGCGCAGAAGCGGGCACCTCCGCCATGGCCTGGACCCCTCTCCTCCTCGGCCTCCTTGCTCACTGCGCAGGTGCTGCGCCCAGGCTCCCACCCACCCCAGCCCGGGGATCTGGAGAAGCTGGACCCTGACTCAGCTTAGCAGGGCGCTGCCTGCGGGGACAGAATGCTCATGACCCTGCTGCTGCCTGAGGGGCTGGTGGGGCTGCACTTCCCTTGTGCTCACGGGCTCTGAGGGGTCCTCTCATTGTTCACGGGTGCCGTCCACCAGCCAGACCCACAGGCCGCTGAGGCCAAGACTGATAAAATGGGGAGCTTTGGGGGCCCAGAGACTGCCGAGAGCTCAGTCAGGCAGGAGGGGGTTTCCATGTGTTGAGCCATCAGCTGGAATCCAACCTTTCCTTTGTCCCTTGCAGGCTCTGCGGCCTCCTATGTTTTGACGCAGCCGTCCTCGGCTTCTGTGAACCTGGGACAGACGGCCAGGATCACCTGTGGGGGAATCAACGTTGGAAGTAAAAATGTTAAGTGGTTCCAGCAGAAGCCCGGCCAGGCCCCTGTGCTGGTCATCTATGAGAGCAGCAGCCGGCCCTCAGGGATCCCTGACCGATTCTCAGGCTCCAACTCGGGGAACACGGCCACCCTGACCATCAGCGGGGTCCAGGCCCAGGACGAGGCGGACTATTTCTGTGGTGCAGCTGAGGGCAGTGGGAGCAGCTGGCATTAACTCACGGTGACAGCCACAGATGGGGAAGTAAGACAAAAACCACTGACTGTGTCACACTCTCCTCTGGCCCCACAAGGACTGTTATCAAAGCAAAAGAGGGGTATAGTCCAGGTCCCGTTTCCCAGGTCTCCAATTGGCCCCTCCTCCCAGCCCCAGGCAGCTGTGCAGAGGGTGGGACAGAAATGGATTCAGGCCTGCAGGACCCGGCTGGCCTGCTGTGCCTGTGCCTCGGCATCATTTCCGGAAAGAGGGCCTATCAAGAGGACAAACTGCCCATGTCCTGTGTACACAAGTAGTGGTCCTTGAATTTCTACATCATGGTGACCAGACCCACTCCTTCGTGAAATGTTCTGGATTAATCCACAGAGGCTGCCAGCTCAGCTGAGCTCCTAAGGCCCCAGGCTCTGGGGCCACCCCGGACTCTGAATGGAGCCAACTAGTGTAGTGGACCCTGTGAGATCCCCTGAGGCTCCCAGTCAGGCCCGACCCTCCAGCCCACCGCAGCCAGATGCCCCTGGCTGGCCTCAGCTCGGCCCTCCCAGGAGGCCGGAAGCAATGTGGACATCACATTGGGCGGAGCAGGTTAAATGGATGGCATGTCCTTGTCCGGGTGGAGGTGAGAAAGAATGTCACTGCCCTGCAGTACCAAATCTTAGCCCAGAGGAGGTGATGGGGAGGGAGCTCCATGACCAGAACCTCACTGGGGAGGACTGGCTGCTCTACTTTCCACCTGGACCAGGAATATCAAGACCAGAGTGAGGGAATTCTTATATCACGTGTCTGCACTACTTCCATTCTCAAAGACCAGATATTAAATACAACTACAACATAAAAGACGATTCTAAGTCATCGAGCACATTTTTATTATTAGTGTAATGAATAACATAGTTTGCATATATTTGTAAATAGTTATTGATACAAGAAACCCTTTCAGTGGGCAGATCAATTCCATAAACCTCATAACAAGCCATTAGGGTACATTTTGAGTGCGATTTAGAGGGAAAGAGGATAATAAGATGTATTTTATTGACGTGTGATCTCCTGTTATTCTCCACAAAGGGATATATTTGCCTAACTCACAAGCACAGATTATGTTTTCAAGGTGAAATTTCCCAGGCTGGCACTAACAGGTTCCCCCCCCATGTTGTTGGAAGACCCCCAGCACAGGGGTGAGGAGTGGCCTGCGGGAGGGGCCGGCGGGGCCCCATGAGGGACCCTGAGGTGTGAGTGTGAGGAGAGGAAGCCCCAGGGTGGGAGGGGCAGAGAGGAGCTGCGGGTGTCCCCTGGGCAGGGAATAGCGGCGGGCGTGACTGCGGCACCAGGCCCTGACACGGAGGTCTCCTCTCGATTATCTCTCAGGCAAACTCTGAGGAGTGCATCAGGGGGTCTGTCTGTCTGCCCACAGGTGTCACCGTAGTGCTTCACACATCATTCCCATGCACAACGCCTCCAGCATTTCCCAAGTGAATTTGTTTCATCGATTCCTAAGCAATATTGGCCTCAAAGCAAATACATTTGTTCAGAATATTAAGTGAAACACGCTTTCCTGCTAATGATGTTCCATAAAATTAAAAGATTTCTTTTCCAGCAGTGACAGTTGTACAAACTCAGTGGCCTTGACAATGTTACAAAAGAATCCTGATCTGTCACAAGGAGCCTCACCAGTAACCAGATTCCCGGTGTCCTGCTGGCATATGACCCTGTCCTGTCTGCCAGGCAGGGAGCAGAGGGAGTGTCCCCATCTCTGTTCACAGACAGTCCCGTGTTCACTGGGTAACACAGGTTTCAACACCGTGAAGATCTGAGTTCTTTTTAGAACGGACTCAGAAAGAATAGAGGGCAGTACACCTGGCTACAGAAGGCAGGGCTGTGACTCAGGGACTGGGAAGGCCTGGGGCGGGGGAGGAAGGGGACAAGGGACATGGAGAGGGGCCGAGCAGGGATGGCGCAGAAAGTTCAGGCTCTGAGGTCAGCCTCCTGAATTGGACTCTTGACTCATCATCACTGCCAGGGGGACTCTGGGAAAATCATAACCTCGCAATGAGGGCTCCCTGCTCATCGGAGAGGAGGAGGGGCTGGGCCTTCAGCACAGGGATGATGTGGGCGTTATGATGCCAGGCGTGGGGTGCGTGCAAAACACTCATCAAGTGTCAACATTGACTGAGGACTCAAAAGCCGTCATTCTGATAAACTAGCTACACATGTAGGACTGTAACCGAACCGAACACAGGTCCGGCTGCTTACCACTTTGAAAGACACACCTGGAGAGCCAGATGCTGATGTAAAAAGGAAAGTGGTTCATTCAGATGCCGGCCATCTGGAAGGTGGTGGACCCATGTCTCAAAACCCACCTCCATGTCTCAGTGGGGACAGAGGTTTTTATAAGGAAGAAGAGGGGAACAGAAACAGGATATGAAGGGAGGGGATTAAAAAGTTCTCCGCATGCAAATGAGCACAGTCCATTCCAATGAGGCAAATGACGATCCGTTGCGATCCTGGTTTAGCCATCCTGGCTTCACCTCACCCTGACCACGTCAACCTAACTCCACGGGTGAAGGTCAGCAAATCTCCCAAAGCTGAGAGTCTTTATCTTTTGAAGTTAGTTCCTACGATTCTTATACAAACATGCTGTTTATCGAAAAGTTTCATATTAGTAAGAGTCAGCATTTGCAGAAACAATGTCAAAAGAACGGGGCCAGGGAGTGGTGGTAGAGTTCCACTGTTTCACAATTCCCACTGATGCAGAATGACATTCACCCTGGGGGCACCAGGGGGCACTGTGGGCCTTGCCTTGGGAACTCTGATAGGTCCAAGTCTCTGGACTGTGCTCTGTGCAAAGGGTGTGACTGATGCTCCTTTGAAGATATTTTTATTGGGTAAAATCAACACTTAACGATGAAACCAAAACCTGGGCCTTCTTCTGACATCAGGGAATTAACCACAAGAAGGCTGTTAGGCTTGGAGTTGATACAGGAGCTGAGACAGTTTTGCATTTGTGCTCCTCCCTCCTGAGATGCAAGAAGAGAGGATAAGACAGGAGCTTGGGGAGGCCAGTGCCAGCCTCAGGGCAGAGCTCCTGGAAGCCCCTCCCACCATGGACTGGGCTCCCTTCTACCTCCTGCCCCTGGTTTTCTCCGTAGGTCAGAGCGTCCCAGGGCACTAGGGGTCCAGCTCCCTATTTCCCTCCATGCACACTTTTGAGCGACATCTGTCCAGACTCTGGTGCACTCAGCATCATCTGTGTATGTTTCTGTTTCTAGGTTGCTGCCCTCTGGTTGTTCTCAGCCAGCCCCCATATACATCTGCCTCCCTGGGAGCCTCAGCCGAGCTCACCTGCACCCTGAGCAGTGAGCACAGCAGCTACATAATTGCATGGCATCAGCAGCAGCCAGGGAAGGCCCCTCACTATTTGATGTATGTTTAGAGCAATGGAAGTCACAAGAAGGGGGACAGGATCCCTGACCGCTTCTCGGGCTCCAGCTCTGGGGCGGACCGCTACTTACGAATGTCCAGTCTGAAGACGAGGCTGAGTATGTGTGTGGTACCAGCCATAAGGGTGATGGCCAAAGCTGGTTTACCGTAATGATGCAGACAAAGGAGAAGCAAGGCCAAAACTGCTGCCATCCCGTTTGCCCACAGAGACGTGGTGCAAGCTGCTCTGCGAGCTTCCCCAGGAATCCTCCCTGAGACACCTCACAGAAGAAGGCAACGCAGTCCTATTTGGGTCATTTTGACAATCCAACAGTCTTTCCTCCATTTCAGGCCTGTGGGGATTTTGCTGGGACAGACCAGCCCAGCCCAGCCCAGCCAGAATATGACCCGGAGAGAGTGAATGTGCTGCGGTGATATTGTCCTCAAGAGCCATCTGCCACTGTATTCCAACTGTGGGGCTTTGCTCAGGGAATAAAGATTGAGTCCTTGAGTCCTGGAGGTGACCATGGAAGTCACAGCAGTGAACACCTTAACTCTGAGTGGAACACAGTTCATGACAGGGGTCCTGTCAGGACTGAGGTTCGGCAGGAAGCACGTGTCCCTCAGCAGAGGCAGGACAGAGAGACTGGAGCCTGTGGTAGGAACAGAGCCGGGTCCGGTGGGGAGGCGTGTAGGGAGGTCTAGGGCCGGACCAGCGTGGATCACGGCCTGGGCCCTCCAGCTGTGCCAGATCCGCAGCCTGTGCTGCCAAGAAAGGCTCCACACCTGTCCACAGAAGATTTTTAAGGACAAGTCAGGACCCTATCCACTGACAGAGCAGCAGATCTAGCGAAGGGGGGGATGTTGAGGGAGAAAATATATGTTGACTCTCCCTCACTGGAGCATCAGCCCTATGGGTGATCCATCTCCAATGTATTTTAAGGAGAAAACAGATTTGTGGACAGGTTGATTTTCTTCGTAGCCTTCCTGAAATACCTGCACCTTTCTCTCTCTCTCTCTCTCTCTCTCTCTCTCTCTCTCTCACACACACACACACACACACACACATCACTGAGTCAAGGCAGAGCAGCTGCATTCACCAACCAACCCAGGTCCCTGGGCGCTGGACGGAGCTGGGCTGGCTGGGATTCCAGGGCTGGACCCCAGACATCAGACTGGTCCTCAGTGGCTGATTCTGAGATGAAAGTGCAGGAGCTACTTGTGGCCTGCGTGACCCCAAGGGGGCAGGAGGGGAGGACGGGGGCTGGTCTCCAGGGAGGGTGTGGGCCCGGGGCAGAATGAGCAAGACATGGACTCAGGCTCAATCCTGCCATAACCTTGGTCAGCTAAGGGGTCACAAGGTCACAGAGCCATCTCCGTCCTCCTGTCTCCAGTCAAGGGCTGTTCTCTACAAGTGTTGCAGTGACTTTGTCCCCAAAAAGGCTCCCGAGGGCCCTCTCCTGGGAGTCCCCTCCACCACTCCTCCTTCAGGGCAGGGCTTCAGGAGGGCTGTGGGGGATGAAATCCCAACCCTCGTGTGGACCCCACTGGGGTAGGTCCACCTGGGACCTGCGGTGCCAGTAACATGGAGGAAAGTCTGGAGTGTCCTTGGTGGACAGATGGAAGGGCAACCTGTGTTAGTGACAACAGTGAGCAGAGAGGGAGCAGACATGGGTCATCCCGAGCTGTGCTCTGATGGGGACCAGCCCGCGAGGAGCCTGGCTCCTCACACCCCAAGTCACCGAAGGACAAGGGGCCCCACAGAGGCCATTTCTTGTGCTCAAAGTTGCGACAGAGTCAGGGTCTCAGTGACCCCATTGTCAGTTCTGTGGTAGGAAAGTAACTAATGAACAGTGTGAAGGACAAGTGTCTGTGTTCCCCTCCCCACCCTCCAGACTGTGCCACACATGGATTCCCAGATACCAGAGGATCCTGGGACTAGAAGCCAAAGTTTATGTCAAAAGAATGAGTTTGTGTGCTGTTAGCAGGGTCTTAAGACTGGACAGTATGTAAGGTCATTGTCACATTAGGGGAATCTCTAATACCTGAAGGGCTGTTGACAATTAAATCCAGGAAGCGGCTGAAACAGTTCACGGGGTCTGCACGTGGAGATAGTCGGGGCTGGTGCCGCTGATACGGCTGAGAGCGCGCTGCAGAGGCACCCTGTCCCCTCTGCCTCATCCTGCATCTTGGTCTATTTCAGCCTCTGCTTTTCTCCCTGTTGATTGTGTTCTATTTCATTCTCCCAGTACATCTTCATCCTATGCCCTTTGTTCTTTTTTCATGCATTCTTTCCTCCTTGTCTTTTTTTCTGCACCAGCGTGTGTCTCCGCACGCACATGGATGTGTTTGCCAGGCTTTATCCCTTAGCAACACCATAAGTAACGATTCGAGTCGGTCGCTGCCTTAGGCGTAAGCTCTCCTGAGGGCGCTGCTGGGACAGCCTCAGGTCGGCAGGAGGCCTGCTGCCGCCAGGTCTCCTCTCCTTGCGGCGTGTTTGTTCTCTGACTATCCTACGCTCCCTGCATGTAGCCTCTGCCCCTGGTGTCTCCACTTGCCACAATTTATCTTCCTTTTTTTAAAATTCAGTTTAGTTTGCCTACACTAAAATGCTTATTTTTAGCGAACGGTTCTGCGGGTTCTGACAAAGGCATACAGAGGAGCAAGCGCTGCCCCCGTCCCGATGTTAACAGCTCCACCAGTGCCCGGAAAGTCTACATGGCAGTCAGACCCTCCATCTGTCCTGACCCCTGACAACTGCTGATCTGTCATCGGTCCCTAGAAGTGGCTCTTCATACAAAAGTCACACAAATGAGATCACACAATACATGAGAGCTTTGTGGTCCTGGCCTCTCTCACTGCATAATCACCTGAGATCCGTCCATGTTGCTGTGTGTTAATATTCTCTCTGTTTTCATTGCAGAGTGGCATTCCACCACTCCAATGAGCCGAAGGATGTGTATCCATTCCCCAGTTAACGACATTTGGGTGCTTTTAGTTTCCGCTCTTTGGCAGTTTCACATAAAACCTTTATAACATTTCACAGGTTTTTGTTTGGACAGTAGTTCTCATTTCACTAGGGTAAGTACCTAGGAATGGAATTGCTGGGTCATTGTTCATGTGTGTGTGTGGGTGTGCCTGTGTGTGCTTTTTGTTTTACGTGATTTTCTACCAAGGGTAGATTCATGTATCCGCCACAGCAGTTAGGATACAGAACATTCCATCACCACAGGATCCCTCCTGTTGTCCTTTTATTACAACATCTACTTTCTCCTTTCCTGCCTCTGAGATCACCACCGCTGCCGCTAATCCTTTGCAATCACTAATTCTCCCTTTCTAAAATCTTGTCTTTGAGGAAATGATGTATAGAAATAAAAATGAAGTCCTACTGTATTTAGCCTCTTGGGGTTGGCATTTTTCATTCCACCTAATTCCCTGTAGAATCCTCAAAATTATTGTTGCACCAGAGTCTCTTCCTTTCGTTGCTGAGCAGTATCCCATGATCCAGGTGGACTAAAGGCTGTTTAACTGTCCACTGAGGAAGAGCATCTGGATTATCCTCACTTGGCCACATTACACACAAGGGTGCTATCAACATTATCATGTAGTTTGTTAGCATGGGTAGCTGGGTATCACTACAGGAAGGGAGCAGAGGAAATAAGACATTATGACGCATAATAAACTGGGAAGCTGAATCGAATACTGGGCCTGCCCCCCTAGGAAGCTACGCTTCACACACTCTCCAGGGGACCTCTGATCCCAAAGCGGCAGGAAGGATCATTACTGGTCATTACTCAGGGAGGAATACACACAGCAGAAGAAATTCCTCTGCTGGACACATGGACACTTGGCCAGTAGAGGCCAAGATGGTGCAGGGGAAGGTCTTACTTTGAGGCATGCTCAGTAGGAACTGAGATCGTGACCATAACGGGGGAGTGTCTAGCTGGGAAAAGCATTGGATTGGATAAGGGACACAGAACCCTGGAAGATCTAGGAAATTGATTGGTTAAGCGGATGAACCAGCAAAAGCCCACAAAAGATTAGGAAGTTGATTGGTTAGTTTGAGAGGACGCCTGGTCCTGCCCAAGCCTGAGATAACACAACCCAAGCTTAACAAAGAAGTTCTTTCTCCATAGCAACGACTTGAGCCTAGCAGCCACCTGTAGCCTGGCAGCTGTGCAAGCCCCAAACATGGGCCCAGGCGCACACCTGCCAGAGTGCAGCCAGAAACACAGACTAAGCTACCTGGCTGAGGACAGCGACAAAGACTGGGCTGAACCAACAGCACGGAAGTTTGGGACCTTGGCCTTTGTTGTGGGCTTGATGAGGACAAGATTAGGCTTTTTCCATAGCGGGATGGGCGAAGGTGGACACTGGGAAGCTGGGGGCCATCTTCTATTTCCACCCACATAACTCTGACCGGGACACCACAGCCTCCCTTGTGGGGGGTCTCTGTAATGCTTTCCTTGCAACTTTGTGAAAGAACCTCATTTCCACCAGCAAAATCTTCTCTGTGAACTTAAGTTGTCACTTCTCTGAGATAAATGCCCAAGAGCACGACTGCTGGGTTGTGTGGTAACCGCAGCTGTAGTTTTCCAAGGAGCTGCCAAACTCTTTCCAGAGTGTCTATGCCATTTCACATTCCCATCAGCTGCACACGAGTGACCACGTGTCTCCAAATACACATTCATTGGATATGTGGTTGCAAATATTTTCTCTCTGTTTCTTGTGGGGTTTTTTTTTTTTCATCCTCTTTAGAAATATTTGCAAAGCAAAAGAAATTTGGTGAGGTTCAGTATATTCATTTTTCCCCTTACAAATCAAGCTCTGGCATCATCAAAAAATTCTTGCCTCACCTTAGATGCAAAAGGTTTCTCTTAGGTTTTCTTACTGAGACGTCAGAAAAGGATTGCCTAAGAGGAACGTGGGCAATTTCCCTGTGTCCGAGCAAGGAACTCTGGCCTCCCCTTCACCAGCTTGACCGCTGTCCCCACAAGCTCCTGCCTCTGTCACTCCCTGCCCCTCAGCCCCCATGGGGGATCTCATCACCAGGGAGGAAGACTGTCGGTGCTCCCTGGGCCCACAGAGAAGGCCCAGGACTCAGCCTGGAGGGTGCGCGCAGGGGCTGGGTCGGGGGTCAGCACTATCTCACTCGGCACCACAGGCAGCCCTGGGGACTCTGGGTCCAGGCCCTGTGAACAGGGCCCTTGTCGCAGCTTCCTTTAACTGAGCCCTTTTCTGCTCAGCAGGGAGACACCCATCAGCCACAAGAAAGAAGGAAGTAGATTTGCATGAGGATCTTTGCCCCCCTCCAGAGAATAAGAGAGACCCTGAGGCCCATCCCCAACTGTGAGCTCAGAGGAAGAGCTTGGGGCAATTTTACAATGGCCTGGACCCTTGTCCTGCTCTCCCTCCTCACTCTCCGCACAGGTGCTGCCCCCAGGTCCTGCCTGCAAGCACGGCCCCCACAGGATCCTGAGCTGGTCCTTTTCCAAAAAGCCTGAACTCAGCCCAGGCACAACCTCAGGGAAGGCCCTGCGCCTCAGAAATGGGTATTTTATCCTCAAGCCTTCTCTCCTTTCCTCCTTTACAGGTTCTGTGGCCTCCTACGAGCTGACCCAGCCGTCCTCCGCGTCAGTGGCTTTGGGGGAGACGGTCACGATCTCTTGCTCTGGAGATTTAATAGGGAAAAAGTATGCATCTTGGTTCCAGCAGAAGCCCGGCCAGGCCCCTGTGCTGGTCATCTACAAGTTTAGCGAGCGGCCCTCGGGGATCCCTGACCGATTCTCTGGCTCCAACTCAGGGCAGACTGTCAGCCTGACCATCAGCGGGGCCCGGGCTGAGGACGAGGCCGACTATCACTGTCAGTCATGGGACAGCAGTAATAATGCTCACAGTGCCACAGGCAGATGGGGAAGCGAGACACAAACCGCCTTCCCCATCTGTGTCACGCTCTCCTGCAGCCCCAGGCAGAATGCAGCCAAAGCCATGGGCAAGTCTGGTCCAGATCCTCACATCTCAGAATCCAGGCAGCACGGCAGAGGGCGGGTCAGGAGGGGATCCCGGGCTGGCAGGACCAGGCTCTCCCAGTGTTGCCTGGGCCTCAGTGTGAACTGGGGACCAAGGGCCTGGGCGGAAGGACAGGCAGAAGGAGACATCCACCTGTGGTTATTGTCTCTGCATCCCCCTGTGGTGGTCACTGGGCCACTTCCTCACCTGCCTGAGCAGGACTGGACCCCAGAATTTCCCAGCTCCACTGCATTCCTGAAGCCCCAGGCTCATAGAGCAGCTTAGGACTCTGAAGGAAGCCAACGAGTGCCGCGGGCCCTGCGCTGTTCACCTCCGTCCCTCTTCTGGGCTCCCCCACCTCCACCGCTGCTGGGAACCGGACTGCTCACAGCCGCGCCCAGGCCCAGGCCCTTCTCAGAGAGGTCAGGGTGATGACTGCCGGCCTCAGCGAGGGTGACAAAAAGATGACCGCTTAGAGCCCCTGCAGGACCCTCAGGCCTTGGGGGTAACCTCCTGTGTGCCGCCTTCTCCTTCTCTCCAGCCTCCCCCACCTCACTTCCTCCAGATTTCCCACACACTCCACTCTCCTCTCCGCCTCGGAGTCTCTCCCAGGGAACCCAATCCAAGGCAGCCAGCTGTCCCGCAAACGGTCATCCGGCACTGAGGTGGCCTCTGGACACCCACAGAGCTCTGGTTCTCCCCTAAATCCCCAGTGGCCATGTCACAGTCCCCAGACAGAGCCGATTGTTCCCTGTATTTTTTATAGAATGAAAGGGAGTCTAGTATGCTAGGTGCTCTGGGTTCTGAGAGAGACAGCGGGAGAGTCAGCTCCATCCTGAAGGAGACTCCCAGGGAAATCGGGGCTGTTGCCTCCTCCTACAATGTGGCCCAGCAGATAGACCACCACGGTGTGAGCTACACAGTGGGTAGCACAGTGGGTGGGCTGCTTCACTTCTACCCTCCTAATCTTGCGTCAGAATCTCTCCTTTCACCCAGCCTACCCAGAAATGTATAGAGAAAATAATTCTGTGAAATAACAGTTCTGCTTGTCAACATTGACACTTAATAAGCCACCACAGTCCACCATTTGTCACCACAAAACCCCTCACATCTTCACAACCCACGCAATTTTCAAATTAAAGAATATAACGATCGTCATGTTCCCTCCTAATATGATAAAACTACCCCGTGAACAACCACAAACATGCTCAGCCTTTCCCACAGAGGATACGAAATACATTTTTATCCGCTAGTGCCTCCCAGGTGATTTGTCCCGCAAATATTGATATTTTATAACTTAAACACTGAGATATAAGTTAACTACTGCGAACATGTCTTATGTTAAGTAAAAGTGGAATGAGACAGGGCAACTTTACAAAAATATATGATTAATATGTATCCAAACATACACGTTATCAATCCAAGGAAAAAATACTTGTTACTTCTACAGTCCTCATTTCTGCACTACCCTGTGGTTGGAGCTGGTGTCTAATTACCTTCTTCCCTATCCACTCCATATGTGCCTTGCCCTCGGCAAACACCTTAGCTAGTCGTGATCTTCCATTAGGTGCGTTGACCAAACTTTCGTTCTTGAAGGTGCTGGTCCATAATCAGTCAGGCAGAATTGGATTGTTGTGATTTTACAACTGTGATCACAGACACAGGAAATTACGGAGCGTCCCATGCGTTCCATACATCCTCCTGCTTACCCCTGTTGTGTGGAAGGAACCCAATCCCTCCACCTCAGACAAGCCCCCCAATTTTGTCCTATGATTCACTGTCAGGAGGAGTCAGGAGGGGCCATGGAACAGTCTCAACCGCCAATTTCATGTGTCCTGCAGAGCGTAAAGTTTCGGGGATGAGAAGGAAAAGTCTTGCTGGTGGCTCCCTAGGGGCGGTAGTGAGTACTGTTTCTGCCATGTCCACCCTCTGGTCCCCAAATACGTGAATCCTGCCTGTAGGAGAAGCACCAGCACATCTTACACTCTGACTTAGAGCACATACAGCCCCCCGGAGGACTTCACCTCAGTCCTGTGAGGGGCTGCCACATACCTGGCCCTGGCCCTGAGTCCTCAAAGGCCTTTCCATTGGAGTTATTGGTTGCTATTGTGTCTCTCCGGTCAGGGCATCAGAAAGGTAAGATAAATGTGCAGAGGCTGGATGGGGTGTTACTCCATGCAAAGTGTCTGGATATCTCACACCCAACTGGGACCATACTTTGTGTTACACGCTAAAAAGCAGTGATCTGTTTACCGAATGTTCTGGCGTTTACAGACCACTTCCTGTGTGACAGGTACACAGAGCTGAAAGAGCAACTAAAATGTAGCCAGGTCTATGGGCTGAATGTTTGTGTCCCTTCATAATTCATCTCTTGAAATCTTGAACAGAAGGTGAAAGTATTAGTAGATGGGAACATTTGGACGTGATGAGTCATGAGGTGGAGCTCTCAGGACTGGGGTCGTGCATTTGTAACAGAAGCCACATCCTTAGCCCTTCCCACCATGTGAGGGAGGACACAGTCAGAGGCGTCTGCTTGAACCAGGAAGAGGGACCTCGCCAGAGGTCTAACATGCAGGCAACTTGATCCTAGACTCCCAGCCTTTAGAACAGAAAGCAATAAATTTCTGTTTTTTTAAAGATTTTATTTATTTACTTTTAGAGAGAGGGGAAGAGAGGGAGAAAGGGAGATAAACATTAATGTGTGGCTGCCTTTCACACGCCCCCTACTGGGGACCTGGCCCACAACCCAGGTATGTGCCCTGACTAGGAATTGAACCAGCAACCCTTTGGTTCACAGGTCGGCATTCAATCCACTGAGCCACACCAGCCAGGGCAATTTCTGTTGCTTTTAAGTTACACAATCTGTGACATTTTGTTCTAAGAACCTGAATGGATGGAGACAGCAGGCCCTGGGTGAGCAGGAGTGTCGTGGAGGGTGTTTCAGTCAGAGAGAAAAACACATGGAACCTCGAAGACAGAAAAGGCCATAAAATATTTGAGGTGATGAGGAATGCCCAGATGATTTGGAACTGCATGAGAACCAGAGAGATGGCCTGAACCACCTATTTCTGTCTGGGCATCCCAAGGGGATACTACCCCTCCCCAGCACCCCTCCCAGGTGACTGGTAAAAAAGTCAGTTCTGAAAACATATTCTCCACATCATTACAGGGTCTAGCACCTGAATCAAGCTCTGTCGACAAATGCCGGGCAGTTCAGCACCAAGACCCAGGTAGCCTAGAAAGGGCTTGGGGACACAGCAGGAGGAAGTGAGAGTTTCCATGGTGACTAAGACCAGAGCTTCTGGAACCTTCGTGAGCACACAAGTCCCCTGGGGTCTCCTAAAACCCACGTGCAGCTGCAGCAGGTCAGCGTGGGCCTGGAATCACCTGTCTGACCGTCCCCTCTGAGGACCACATTGGGAGTGGCTTCACTCCTGCTCACCTGCTACTCACAGCTCAGTGACAGGCACCACAGGAAGGCACTGTCTGTGAGTCACGGGGACCTGCTCTTTCAGTAGACACCTCACCTGCCACCCAGACCTCCATGCTGCCCTAGGTGGACAGGTCAGAAGAAACACCCTGTAGTCAATGTTGCGCAGGTCTGGTTGTAGTTTCTGCAGAACCAGGTCCCCCTCCCAGAATGGGGCCACATGCACGGCCAACTCTAGTGAGAAAATGGGGGTGAGGGGACACACGCCACAGATCTCGACAACGATGAAGGAGTTTAGGTGATAGTCCTGCTGGGACGTTCTCTGTTGTCTCTGTTAAGCGCCAGGATCACATCCCTGGGACCAGAGACCTGGGGGGCGCGTCAGCCGCCTGCGGTGCAGGCCTCCTGTGACCCTGCAAAGGGCAGTGCACACGTGGTCTCGGAGCCTCTGTGTGCACATGTGTGTGCATCTTGGGGTAGCCAAGGAATTGTGCAATGGCACATGTCCCAGGCTTTCAGTTTCTAGAATTTTCTCCTTACACTATTCTGTGGTTCTTGCGTTATACTAAGTATAAGGATTAAGGATATTAATAAAAACAGGAGGAGTAGCATTCACGTGTGTTTGAAATATACCAGCACCATTCACAGCACTTTACATTTATTAAATTGTTTAGTCACAAATACTCTATAAACGTGCCTTCTCATTATCACCTCACTTTACAGATGGGGAAACTGAGGTACATAGCAACCTTGTCTGAAGTCCGAACTAGACAGCGGCAGACCCAGTAGCAAACCAGGGTTATAGCCCCAGAGTCCCCGGTCCTCACCAACATCCTGCGGCCTCTGTGTTCTAAAAGCTAAGACTTGGCTTTTCCTTAAAATGCCAGGAAGTTTTCCCTCATTTTTCTAAAGCAAGCGACTGATATTGGGACTTTAAAGTACAACTCTGTCCAATATGAACCACCTAGATAACTTTAAATTTTGCAGGATCAATATTTTAAAAATTAGGTGAAGCAGCTGGAATTAGTTTTCTTAACATATTTTGTTTAATTCAATTAGCTGAAAATATTTCAAAGTGAATTAAATATAAAAATATTGATATATTTTACATTACTTTTGTACTGGCTTTGAAATATGGTATTTCAGAACTACAGCGCATCTCTCCTGGGATGACCCACATTTCATGCTCAACAGCTGTGAGTGACTTATTGCCACCACATTGGGGAGAGCAGGTTAGACGGATGATGAAGTGCCCTTGAGGTAATGTCCTTGCAGTGCATGGTGAAAGCCACCAGGGGGCGATGGAGGGTCTCATGACCCAAGAGCCTCATTAGGCAAGAAAGGCTGCTCCACTTTCAACCAACCCAAGAAGGCTGAGGACAGCACAATGAAGGGGCTATTTATATATGTGTCCACATTAGTTCCATTCTCAAATATACAATATTAAATACAACTACAATTTTAAAGATGAATCTGAGTTATTGAACACATTTTATTATTAGTCGGTGTAATGATGACAATATTCCTTTTGTATTTCAAATAAATAATCTCCCTCTCAGTGGGGAGATTATTTCCCCCCACTTCATACAAGTCTTACTCTTGTATTTTGTGCAGCGATCTAGAGGGTAGACTAAGAAATATTTTCTCGAAGTAGGATGACTTGCTACTTTTTAAAAAAGAATATATTTGCCTACCTCAAGGGGAGCGCCTACTGGCTGCAGGTCCGCCTTCACCTGCTACCAGCTGCCTGGACCCTGACAGAGCCCTGGGTCCTGCTGTCAAAGGCGTCGCCACCTCCTCGTGAATCCTTTTCTCCACCCCGGGGGCGATCGCAGCTCCCTCCCTTGTCCTCCGT